ATGGGTTGGGGTACTTCCTGTCACAAAGTAATTTCTTGGTTATGCATACTGAACATGGGAAAAGGGTCAAGGAGGAGGTTAACAGTGGGGTTAATTTGGAAACACGTCTGGGATTTAGCGAGAGTAAAAGGGAATTGGGAAGAGCAGAAGTTGACAGCTAGCATATTGCAAGCTTTGGAGAGTTTTCACCAAGCCAATCAACAACCCTGACCAAGGTGGGATGAAAATGAGAAACAGCAGACAAATGAGGAACAAGAGAGGGGAGGTGAACGCCATATAGAAGTGCAACAGGAAACGTATGGCGCAGGGCTTCCTGGACTCTGCGGAGCTTCATGGCAGTGCGATAAGCTGAGAACTCAATGTTGTTCAGATTGGCTGCAAAGAATGGAGAGAGACCCACTCGGATAAGAAAAATTCAAGTTAATGCCACAATAAGATACCATTCTACACCCACCAGACTAGCAAAGAATAGAAGTCTGACAATAGCAAGTGTCAACAAGAATGTGGATGAATGAGAACTGCCAGTGAAAGTGTGAACTGACACAATCATCTTTGAAAACGACTTGGTATTACCTAGTAACATGGAACAGTCATATATCCTACCACCCAGCCAGCTATGTATCCCAGAGCAGTGACTTGCAAATGCTTTTTGATCAAGACTTACAGTATCAAATTCATTTTATAGCATACATGCATATATGTAAAAATAACTAAATCAAACATTTCAGGAAGCAATGCCTTACTAGATTGGATAGAGCGAAAACAACAAAATTAATATCAACTATGACTCTTGCTAAGGATCTGTTGCCTGTTAATATTTCCTGATTTATTTCAATTTTTTTAAATGTTTGTCACAATACACTAAAATGATGTTATGACCTGCAGATTGAAAAACATGCCCCAGAGAAATCCTTGCACACATGCACTGGAAAACACATATTAGAACCTCCTCAGCAGTATCACGCTTATTAGCTTCAAACAAGAAATGACCCACGTGTCTGTCAACAGCAGAATGGATGAAGAAACTGTGCTATATACAATGGAATATTCTACACTGGAGAAAAAGAATGAACTGTAGTCACGTGCATCAGCATGGATAAAATGTGCAACATAAATTGAGTTTCTCTTAGACAAAGATAAGGCATGCAAGAGTCACACTCATCACAGCCTGGACAGTCTTTCAAAGCATCTGTAAGAATAATTCATTAATGCATTGATAAGATGGTCCAGGGGAGAATGTAGAGTCTCCGATTGAGAAAGGTGCAGAGGGTAAAGGAAGGCAGGCTGTTGGAGAAACGATGAGGCACTCATTCCCTCTCCCACCTGCTTATTGACTGTGAATCTCTTCTCTTCTTTTCTATACAACTTTATTGAGGTATAATTGATATACAAAAAGCTGTAGAGATTCAATGTCTACAAGTTGATGAGTTTGGAGTCAAGTATACATCTATGAATTCATCACCACAATCTGTGCCATTAATACATCCATCACTTCCAAAAAGTTCCGACTACCTTCTTTATTGTTTTTTTCTATAAGAACACTTAACATAAGATTTACCTTCTTAGCAAGTTTTTAAGGATACAATCCAGTATTATTCAGTGTAGGTACTAGGCTGCGCAGGAGATCTCTAGGACTTACCCATCTTGCATAATTGAAACTTCTTTGTACTCTTAACCAATATTTCCCCATTTTCCCCTCCCCTCAGCCACTGGCAGCCGCCATTTAACTCTTTGCTTCTATGAGTTTGACTATTTTAGATTCCCTGTATACATGAAAAAATAAATAAATAAAATCCTACCCCCATGGAGCACAGCAAGCTAAGATCCACTGGCTTGAAATTCTTGCTGCCAGCACAGCAGTCTAAAGTTGATCTGGGAATGTTGAAGCTGGCGGGGGATATCCACTATTACTGAGGCTTGAGTAGGCAGTTTTCCCCACCCAGTGTAAATAAAAGTGTCGAGAAGTTTGAACTGGGTGGAGCCCAGTGCAGCTTGGCAAAGCCACTGTAGCCAGACAGCCTCTCTAGATTCCTCCTCTATGGGCAGGGCACTTCTGAAAGAAAGGCAGAAGCCCCAGTTAGGGGCTTATAGAGAAAACTCCCATCTCCCTGGAACAGAGCACCTGTGGGAAGGGGAGGCTGTGGGCTCTGCTTCGGCAGACTTTAACATTCCTGTCTGCTGGCTCTGAAGAGAGAAGTGGATCTCCCAGCACAGCACTTGAGCTCTACTAAGGGATAGACTGCCTCCTCAAGTGGGTCCCTGATCTCTGTGCCTCCTGACTAGGAGACACCTCCCAGCAGGGGTCGAATGACACCTCTTACATGAGCGCTCCGGTTGGCATCTGGTGGGTGCCCCCATGGGAAGAAGCTTCGAGAGGAAGGAACAGGCAGCAATCTTTGCTATTCTACAGACTCTACTGGTGACACCCAGGCAAACAGGGTCTGAAGTGGACCTCCAACAAACTCCAGCAGACCTGCAGCAGAGGGACCTGACTCTTAGAAGGAAAACTAACAAACAGAAAGGAATATCATCAACATCAACAAAAAGGACATCCACATAAAAACCCCAACGAACATCAAAGATCAAAGGCAAATAAATCCATGAAGATGAGAAAAACACAGCACAAAAAGGCTGAAAATTCCAAAAACCAGAATGTCTTTTCTCCTCCAAAGGATCACAGCTCCTCCCCAGCAAGGGAACAAAACTGGACAGAGAATGAGTTTGACAAACTGACAGAAGCAGGCTTCGGAAGGTGGGTAATAACAAACTCTTCCAAGCTAAACGGTCATGTTCTAACCCAATATGAGAAAGCTAAGAACCTTGAAAAGAGGTTAGACAAATTGCTAGGGAAAATAACCAGCTTAAAGAAGAATATAAATGACCTGATGGAGCTGAAAAACACAGCCCAAGAACTTTGTGAAGTATAACCAAGCATCAGTAGCTGAATTGATCAAGTGGAAAAAAGATATCAGAGACTGAAGATCATACTGAATGAAATAAAGTGTGAAGATTAGAGAAAAAAAGAACAAAAAGGAATGAACAAAGCCTCCAAGAAATATGGGACTATGAAAAGACCAAACCTACCTTTGATTGGTGTACCTAAAAGCGACAGAGACAGTGGAACCAAGTTGGAAAACACTCTCTGGGATATTATCAAAGAGAATTTCCCCAGCTTAGCAAGACAGGCCAATGTTCAAATTCGAGTAACACAGAGACCACCACAAAGATACTCTTCAAGAAGAGCAACCCCAAGACACATAATCATCAGATTCACCAAGGTTGAAATGAAGGCAAAAAATGTTAAGGATAGCCAGAGAGAAAGGTTGGGTTACCCAAAAAGGGAAGCCCATCAGACTCATAGCAGATCTCTTGGCAGAAACCCTACAAGCCAGAAAAGAGTAGAGGCTAAATTCAACATTCTTAAAGAAAATAATTTTCAACCCAGAATTTCATATCCAAGCCAGAAGAGAATGGGAAAAAATTTTTGCCATCTACCCATCTGACAAAGGGCTAATATCCAGAATCTACAAAGAACTTAAAGTTACAAGAAAAAAACAACCCCATCAAAAAGTGGGTGAAGGAAATGAACAGACAGTTCTCAAAAGGAGATATTTATGTAGCCAACAAACAAAAAAAGGTCATCATCACTGGTGATTAGAGAAATGTAAATCAAAACCACAATGAGATACTGTCTCATGCCAGTTAGAATGGGGTTGATCAAAAACTCAGCAGACAGCAGATGCTGGAGAGGATGTGGAGAAATAGGAATGCTTTTACACTGTTGGTGTAAATTAGTTCAACCACTGTGGAAGACAGTGTGGATACTCCTCAAGGATCTAGAACTGGAAATACCATTTGACCCAGCAACCCCATTACAGGGTATATACCTAAAGGATTATAAATTATTCTATTATAGAGACACATGCACATGTATGTTCACTGCAGCACTGTTCACAATAGCAAAGGCCTGCAACCAGCCCAAATGCCCATCAGTGATAGACAGGATAAAGAAAATGTGGCACATATACACCATGGAATACTATGCAGCCATAAAAAAAGATGAGTTCATGTCCTTGCAGGGACATGGATGAAGCTGGAAACCATCATTCTCAGCAAACTAATGGACAAGAACAGAAAACCAAACACCACATGTTCTCACTCATAAGTGGGAGCTGAACAATGAGAACACATGGACACAGGGAAGGGAAGATCTCACATTCAGCCTGTCAGGGGTGGGGGCTAGGGGATAGCATTAGGAGAAATACCCAACGTACATGGCAGGGTGATGGATGCAGCAAACCACCATGGCACGTGTATACCTATGTAACAAACCTGCACATTCTGTACAAATATCACAGAACTTAAATATAATAATAATTTTCAAAAAGTAGTTGGGAAATTATTAAAAAATTGAAAGACCAGTGTATTGAAGCCCACATTGTTTTCTGTTTAAATATTTATTTATACCTAAAATTGAATCTATTGTCATTTTACTTTCCTGGCTTTAATAGAGGCAAATGCATCAGCAATGTTTTCAGCTGAAAATGAGATAAACCAAGAAGTCAATTTTGAACATCTGTGACTGGCTCTGAGCAGATGCAGGGCCGCCCAGTGAGGAAGGACTGCCTACACACTTGATTCTAATCTGCACCTTATGATTTGACCTGTTTGAAACTGCAAGTACCTCCTTTGGCACTTCTTGGAGGCACCACTGGGTAATACTGATGGCTTCTCCCTTGTTCTTTAAACAGCTTTGTTGCCTGCAGAGCTTCAGGGCAAGGGTGCCTCCTGTTCATGAACTCTACAGTGCCTGCCCATATGCAAATCAGCATTTGCTTGCCAAACTTTCCTTTTTATTTATCTAGAACACAAAATTCACTGTAGAAGCTGGGTCCACAGCAACTTTTTTGAAATGTCCTTCGTGAATCATTTAAAACATCCACTTAGAACATCAGATTAACTTAAAGTAGGTGATCGATTTTAGGCAGCTGTCTTCTTACCTTTTTGTAGGAAATTGGTCTTTTAGGCAATAACTTTGGCATCCACCCCGAGCAAGGAAGACATTAGAATTTAAGGCAAAAATCCAGGCACTGTCCAAGCATCTAAAGAAAGATTTAAAAGAAACACTCAACCTATACATGTTCCAATTAATTCCAAGATAAAAAAATGAAATTGACCTGGATTATCATTCCTGTTCTCCGTTAGTTATTCATTTTCTCCTCCTTCAAGTTCTGGTGGATTGCTTTACGACAAGACTGTCGGCTTACTGGTGCAGCTGGGTTCTACAGCGGTTGGTCTCACTACCCTCAGCCATCAGAATTATCTGGAACGCTGGTCAAGACACAGATTTTGAGTCCCAGTCCCAGAGTTTCTAATTCAGGAGGTCTGGGGTGTGGCCAGATAATTTGTATCTCTAACAGATTCCTAAGTGAGGCTGATACTTCCAGTCTGTGGACCACGCTTTGAGAACTACTGTACCAAAGTGATGTGTATAAATGCAGGTATCTTGCCAGTCAGTAACATTTAGCCAAGAGGGAATGAATAGGTCTGTTCCTTTATCACAACTAAGTAGATAGCTGTAACGGCGCAAAACCAAAATGCACACACACTTGCCATGTTGGTCTGATTATTTGGAGCAATACTTCTCAATCCTTCATGAGCACTCATATCCCCTGGGAAACCTGTTAAACTGCAGATACTGATCCATGCAAGGGAAGGCCCCACATTTTTCATTTCTTACCCATGATGCTGCTGCTAGTCCACAGACCACACTTTAAATAGCAAAAGGCTAAAAGAAACCCCATTTAATACAGCTTTTCATTAAGTTACTTACAACTAATTCAGAACAGAAGGCTATTGTTCTTGTAAACAGCTTTTGAAACATGCTTCAGTCCAGAAGCAGGTTTTTTTTGTCAGTGATACTGAATTTATCAAAAAATAAATTTTTACTGTACGGCTTTGTAAAAGACAAATTCCTTAGAATTGTGGGGAGGAAACTACATATTTCTCTCAGTGAGGACGATGCAGGGAAACAGAAGATATGGGATGAGGTCTCATTGGCAGCTCTCTGGCCTTGAGAGTCTCCTATACCTTTATTTTGACTTTGGGCTAAGCTTCAGTGATGATCTGGCTTGTCATCCAGAGTTTATACTCCAAAAAGAAAGACTGATTGTGCATGTTTGTCTTATCTAGTAAAAGCAACCCTATTGGAAAGAGTTTACCCTTAAACAGACGAGTCACCATTGCCTTCAGCTGGTACGCTGCTATGGGCAATGAATTGTAATTAAGCTCAGCTGCCAATGCAGCTGGTTGCAGCATCACCTGCAAGCATTTGTAGAGCTGTTTCTATCTAGCAGAGACAGTCCCAAATATGCAAATATTTGTTCACTGGTTACACTGGTTCCCTGATTCAACAGCATCAATGTTAATTTCTTGATTTTGATAATTGCACTGTTGTTATGTAGGAGGAAGTCCTCATTCTTAGGAAATACAAATTATTTAAGAAAAAAAAGGACAACATACTTGCAATTTACTCTCAAATGGTTCATTAAAAATAATGTACTCAGAGTAAACAAAAAAAATTTTTAAGTAAATATCTTAAGATTTTAACAACTGGAAGGTTGCAGTGGCTCACACCTGTAATCCCAGCACTTTGGGTGACCGAGGCAAGTGGATCATTTGAGGTCAGGAGTTCAATACCAGCCTGACCAACATGGTAAAACCCTGTCTCTACTAAAAATACAAAAAAATTAGCCGGGCATGGTGGCACATGCCTGTAATCCCAGCTACTCAATAGGCTGAAGTCAGAGAATCGCTTGAACCTGGAGGTGGAGCTTGCAGTGAGCCGAAATTGTACCACTATACTCTAGCCTGGGCAACAGAGAGAGACTCCACCTGGGAAAAAAAAAAGACTTTAACAACTGGGGAATGTGAATGAAGGATAATCAGAAGTCTTTGGTATTATTCTTACAATTTTTCTGTAAGTCTGGAGTTATTTAAAGTACAAAGTAAAATATTTTTAACCATATGTACAAGTGCCTGGCCAGACCAGTTAAACCCAAATCTCTGAGTAAGAACTAGATATCAGTGTTTTAAAACTCCCCAAGTAAGTATTCGGTACAAGGGTTGAGAATCTTTGCTAATCACTCAATGCCTGTGTTTCCCAATATAATTTACTTACGTATGCTCTAGAAGCTTGTCAAAGAATATAGATGCTTTCAACTGAGTTTCCTTATTCTGGTCCATGTGCCCTACCATTTGTTTTTGGTACCAAATGTCTGGTAGCTTTCTGGAGGGAGCTGCTGTGTGAGCAGAGAGAGATGGGTGCCCATCACTTAAGAACAGCCTCTTTGTATAGGTTCAAGGGAAACTAACACGAAGCTAGAAAAAGAGGTAGATTTGTGTTTCAGATAAAATATTACATTTTTAACATATTTGTTTTTTTATGTGCATATTTATACAGATGTTTCTGAATGAATCTATACTAAGTAAATATATAAAGCATACTTTTCTGGACTTCTGGATAATTTTAAGTAAGGAGGGATTCTTTTCTTTTTGATAATGGACTGGATCCCTCTGCCTGTCCAGCCTTGTCAAAATCATGCTTTTGTTCAGTCTGACTTCCTTGTTCTCCTGTTCTCCCTTAAGCTATCTTTCTATCCAAAACTGGTTAGAAAGCCTTTCTGTGTTCTCTTCCTGTGTGGTAGAGAATTCACTGAAATCATACACTCAATGTCTTTACACCTCTTCAACCTCACTACCACACATCCCTAAGCCTTTACTCAATAGGTAAAGGGAAGCTTCTAGAATTTAGAACACTTCTTAAACTAATAAAACATGAATTTTGTGCTTACCATTGGCATCAATGAGTCTCAAAATGTTACTTGAAATTCTGAACTTGTTCTAAGCAGTATGGCCCATTCCTTCAAATCATGAATATTATTGAGTCACTGAGTCAGGAAATGTGTGGGATAACTCATTCAAGATTTGGTGGAACAAATCTTCATTGCTTTAATATCTCAAAACCATTATCTGAATTTTACAGGTAAAACATAAGCATCAGCAACAGCTACTATTTCTTCAAGACACCTCTTACTGTAACCCTCGTCTTTGTTTACTTGGTCCTAAGTTTCCCAAGCTCTCTGTTTTTTCCCTCTACACTTTTGACTCCACCAGCACCCCTCACTCTGTCCTCAATTCCTTGTTCTACTCACTTACACTAGCTAAGTTTCTTCTGTTGTAATCATCATTAATCACTTTCAAACACAGTTGGCTCCATCCTCAGGTATAGGGGAGGAAGGAACCTCAACTATGTACAAAGAAACTTGGGAGCACCTTCCATGGGTTGAGTAAAGTTTGTGGTCAGACAAAAGAGCATGAGTCTTAATTCGTGACAGAGCTGAATGACGTTTGTCCCAAGTTGCTGAAAATTGATTGTGGATGGTATTTGGCAAGATAACATCTTCAATCATATGTCAAAATGAGTTCTTAATGGAAAGCTAAGTGATAAAATCTCCATAAAAAATATGGATGGCCCATATTGAATACTGGTTACAGAAGACAAGAAGTGTGGGTATCCACCAGCGTTTTCTAGAACACTTAAGATTCCGATCCCAGATCTTTTGACCTCAGAAAGCATGATGTATCCATTTTCTCCACCATGCCAGCAGGCTTAATGAATACAGAGGGCTCAGCTGGGCTCTGAAGTGGCAAACAGCAGTCACCCCTCCGCAAGATCGGAAAGCCCTGCAGAGCCGGACTCCCAACTGCATTTGCCACGAAAAGGCAACCAGCATTCATCTATGACACCCAGAAATCCCATCACCTCCTCATCTTTTTCTAAGGTAAAGCCAGCTTTTCAATGATGTTTTACTTCTTACCATTTAAGAACTTCATAGGACATCTTCTAGTTTCAGGCTTATTATGTACTTAGATTCCTCAGCACATTGGTAGGAGGTTGGAAAGGAGAGAAATTATGCCACAATGGTATTTGACAGAAGGCATATCTATGGCCTATCTACTGCTGATAAAAAGAAGTGTTGCCAAGATATTCCATATTTACACTGGAGAGTTTGAAATATCTGTGTTACACCTGTAGATTACACTAGACCATCAAGAAGCCACGTTCACTTGCAGAAAACTGTCCAGGCTCACAACGTATGCATACTAGGGTACTTGTACGTACCATATCCTCAGCACTTCCTGGGAACACTACAGAATCAAAGTTGTTAAAACCAGTATCTTTTTATATATATATATAAATATAAAGCCATTGCTTTACATACCCCACATGCTGCCTGGGCTCTTACACCCTATAGAGTCACAGATGGGAATTTTCAGCACAAGTGCCAAGAATAGTTTTAGTTTTCTAGGTGTTCCAAGGGACCCATACAACTGTGATTATTTTCTTTCACTTGGACCTAAGAACCTCAAAGCCAAATTTTCATTTCAACTTTAATAAAAATATTCAAGTTTTTATTACAATACTGTGTGCCACCTGTATTGTGGTCTTACATACTGGTTTTCTGGTTTTGTTTTTTGTTCGTTGTGATTTTCTATTTACTCCTTAGGGTTGTCTAAGGTAAGGAAGGACAAAAAGAAGGAAGGGGGAAGAAAGGAAGAATAGAAGAAAGGAAGGAAAGAAGAGATGTGTTGAAATGAGATGATACTATTTAAGGACTCATGAATGAACAGTATATCCTTTCCTCCTGCTTTGTGCCACTGGAGAACAAAATAATCACTTTTATGGGCATCAAACTCTTCTTAAAGAAATAGAAAAATATTCTTTAACACCAGCTATGTGGCTTATTTTAGCCAAATAGTAACAGGAGGCTTCACCTGTATGAAGGAGAAAAGTGAAACCTAGGTGTCCAGGAGAAGGGCATTGGCCAAACCAACAGGAGAGTTGCTCTCTTCTAAGCAGAAGTAACTGTAAAACTCTCCACGTTGCATGATCACAGGACAATAACCCTTTAACCCCTTCCAGACCTCCTCCACCAGCTCTCACATAAGCCACAAAGAGTGACGATGAGGGACAGTGCTGCCGTGTCATACGCATTTCCCTGGTGCTGCCCACCCCACCACTCAAATGACATATGGAACA